GGCCGCTCTCCTCTTCACTCGCTCCGGCAGCTCCCTCGGTCTTCTTCGATTTCCGCGCGCTGCCGCTCGGCTCCTCCTCTCCAAGCTCCACCTCCTCGCCGGTGATTGGCCGCCTGTGTGCCTCTCCTGAGCTACAGTTCCGGTGGCCAATCAGCGGCGAGGAGGCGGAGCTGCTGAGCGATCCCGGAGGTGTGGCCAGGTGACAGCAGCGTATCATCCCGCCCACACATCGCCGGAGACAGCAGCGGTGTCTCGGTTCCTAAGACCATCGGAAATATGTGTTTTCCGATGGTCTTAGGCGACCCCTGGGAAATGGTCGTTCGACCCCCAAAGGGGTCGCGACCCCCAGGTTGAGAACCGCTGCTTTAGAGGATCCACAAACAAAAAATAATAAATGCACCTTTTTTTTTTACTGCAAGCACATGTGCATTTATTATTTTTTGTTGAAAGGTGCACTTACCCTTTATGGAAGATGATTTCTACATACCAGTGGGACATTATGTTTTACAACCAGACTATGGAAGACATGAATGTTTTAGTTCCTAAAGGGAACTTAAAAAATACTCAGAAAATGAAAACTTTTGAACTAAAGCTGGTTATACATAGACCGAAATTCAGCCGCTTTGGCAGCCACCGGGCAAATTTCAAGCCATGTATGGGTAGGCTCTTTGTACCCAAGTCAATGGATTGACTTTGGTACAAGCAGCCTGTTGGATTTTTCTACATACAATTACGGCCAGTGACTATAGCTGCTAGCAGTAATCATTAAAATTGATTAGTCTATGGCTTGTGTAAGAATAATAATTGTTTTTGATGCAAAAGATAGTGACCTAAATGTGCACCTCAGTTTTCTAAATCACTATCCAGCGGTTTAAGATCTCTCTCAACTCTGTGACTCTATCCCCCCTCCCATTCCATAGTCCTCATTTCCTTATCTCACCAACTATTCAAGTTTAATTGCCATTACTGTGTATGTTTGTTTGTTTTGGGTGTTTTTTTTTTTTTTTTCTCTTTAGAGATTGTCTTAATTCTGCTAAAACTTTCTATATTAGTACTGATCAGACCTTGAAGAAAGGGTATACCCCAAAAGCTTGTCCTAAAAATGTGGATGTTAGTGCAAATAAAAAATGATCACAGACAGTACTCAAATTTGTACACATCTTGTGATTCACACTTTTTTGCTGAGCTGTGTGTGTGTGTGCACAATGAGAGTGACAACACTTTAAGGTTAAACTTTTTAATGAAACTGCCAGATACTGAAAGTGATTGGTTATTTTTTCTATAGAACAGAGAAAAATAATTAACTTCAAAAGCAAATGGAATCAAGAAAGAAATATATTTCTTAATTATAAAATTGTAAGGCACACAGGATGAAGCATGCAGGTATATTATGACATACAAAGCAATCCAACTGAGGGAGGGAAACAAAGGAAATGAAAGGCTATCAGATCCACAGAAAACCGAGGGGGCTCAACAGAGCTTGTAGAGCTGCCTGAAGATCCTTATGACTGAAACCAGCATCAGCTGAAACCTCAACATCCACTTGGTAAAACCTAACCAACAGAAGACCAGGTGTCAGCCATGCAGAACTGACAGAACAGATGCCTGACAAACAAAAGCTGTATGGACATCTCAGTTTAACCCCTCCTGCTCCGAGCACTTCTCAGTTTTTTGCTAGTGTCCTAGGTGAACAGTTTTTCTGTGTCAGGGACCTGTTTACCATCCTTCTCTTTCATTTGCTTTTACAGCCTGACTGTTGAAACCAAGGTCCCGAGGGACCCGGATCCATCAGATTTAGTTATTACTACACTTTTAAAATCTAAGAAATCGGTTCACTCTTACTATTGCTTGCTATAAAGCCAAGCAGACTGGGAGTGGGAGGCGTTATACTGTGTTGTCATTTAGCCAATAAAGAGTGTCATTAAATGCTGAACTTTTTGCATTCGTTCACTATACAAAGGCCACCAAGTGTGTAGGTGGTGCTGGGCTTTTAGAAATCTCAGTATCTGTTTGGGTTTGCACTTATAAGTGAGGGGAAGAAAAAACATGCAGTCAAGCCCCCAACCGCTCCCCCCTTGAAGCTCCAAAGCAGTGTACACATGCCACTGCTGCTGCAATGCTTCACATCACGGCTCGGAAAAAATACACAACAGCCCCCCCTCCTGTCATGTTTGGCAGGCAGTATCCCCCCCCCCCCCCCCCCCAGCTGAACACAACCCATTCAACTAAATAGGGCCACAATGCAACCATGTGCAATGCAGTGCATGTGTTTAGAGGTTAAAAACAGGGGATGAGGAGTCAACTTAACGCCTCCTGACTGCCTGTCAAGTGCCCTTTGTTAAAAGCAGATTGCTTTTCAGAGTGCACTGCTAGTGTAATTTGAGCCCTTAATGTATTAATAGGAAAAGCTACATCCCTTACCTTCATTCAGTGCATGATTATTTGAATGTATATCATCAAGGATGTCTTAAAATGATACTAAGCATACAATGTTTAATTGCCATTATCCCTTTTATTTACAGTGCTCAGCATAAATGAGTACACCCCTTTTGAAAAGTAAGATCTTAATCAATATCTCAATGAACACAAGAACAATTTCCAAAATTGTGACAAAACTGAGTTTTATAGAACATTTGTTTAGCTCATTACATGAAAGTAAGGTTAATAATTTAACTTAGATTACAAAATCTTCAGTTTTACTTAAATTAGTAAATGCAAAAATGAATACAACCCACAACAAAAACTACTACATCTAGTATTTTGTATGACATCCACGATTTATATGGACAGCACCAAGTCTTCTAGGCATGGAATGAACAAGTTGGCGACATATTGCAATATCTATCTTTTCCATTCTTCAAGAGCGACCTCTTCTAGAGCCTGGATGCATGAATAGAGAGTGATGCTCAACTTGTCTCTTCAGAATTCCCCATAGGTGTTTGATTGGGTTCAGATCAGGAGACATACTTGGCCACTGAATCAATTTCACCCTATTTTTCTTCAGAAATGCAACAGTGGCATTAGATGTGTTTTTTGGATCATTGTCATGTTGGAAAAGTGCACGACAACCAAGGGCACGGAGTGATGGTAGAATCTTCTCTTTCAGTATAGAGCAGTACATCTGTGAATTCATGATGCCATAAATGAAATGCAGCTCCCGGACTCCAGGAGCACTCATGCAGCCCCACAGAAGGACACTGCCACCACCATGTTTTACTGTTGGCACCAGGCATTTTTCTTAGTACTCCTCACCTTTGCGATGCCATACAGTTTTGAAGCCATCAGTTCCAAAAACATTTATTTTGGTTTCATCACTCCAGAGTACAGAGTCCCAGGAGTCTTCTTTTTCAACATGGGCCCTGGCAAATTCTAGGCGGGCTTTTTTGTGCATGGGTTTTAGGAGAGGCATCGTTCGTGAACGACACCCATACATGACATTCCTCTGCAGTGTACGCCGTATTGTGTCACGGGAAACAATCAGCCCAGTTTGGTTTACTACTTCTTTAGCTAACTGCAGTTTGCATGACAATACTTTTCATTAGAAGACGCTTCTGTCAAGGTGTTAACCTCCGTGGACAGCCTGGACACCTGTGAAATGGTTGCAGTACTATCTTTGTTAAATTTTTGTATCACTTTTGCTGCAGTATTCTTAATGATAAGTAAAGCTTTGCTGATCTTCTTGTAGCCTTCACCTTTCTTGTTATTTTAAATTATTTTCTTTCTCAGGCCTTGTGACATTTCTCTTCCTTGTGGAGCCATTGCTGACAGCATTAAATGGGAAGCGGTTTTCTTTGTTAATTAATGCCCTTTTATAATCAACTGTTTGCTGGAATAATTAGATTCACCTGTAGTTGAATTCTTGTTAATTAGGATTTTGTTTTCTAAAATGTAGTTTTGCTCCTAAGACTTTCATTGGGGTGTATTCATTTCTGCAATATGGTCTTGAATTAATTTGTTAGAAAAAATACTTTTTTGTGTATGCAAATTAACAAATCTTGTTTGCAATCAATGACCCGCATTTGTGGGAGTATTTTGTAGTGTAGTGTCCCATAGAAAATGTTGATGCTGAAAGTAAAGGTTTTTCTGACAAATCTGTTGGGGTGTGCTTATTTTTGCTGAGCCCTGAACAAAGATCATGCCACTGTATTTAATTTAATAGAAAATAATATAAAAAAATACCTTATTAAATCATTGCTGTTCAAAGGTGACACGATGCTTCCCAGGTCTTTCCTGTCCTTAGGGAAAGTTCTGAAGGTGCAGTTTCTAGTACTCTGCTGATATATGTATGAATCTGTGTCTGCACAGCATTGATTGGTGCTGTGCTGGTCACATGCTTTCACATTGTAAAAAGATTTGGAGGATGTTCTGCCTATCCCAGGCTGTGTCACGCCCTTCCATCCTGTGTTTATGGTGTGTATGTGCTGGAACTAACAAGGAGGTGAAGCCTCCTTCAAACACCATCATGTATCCATAGTGTTTAGCAATATGAGGAGATGTGTATACACCCACATGTGAGACTTTATAGTCACATGGGCTGCACAGGTAGGAAAAAGCAGGAAACTGGAGCATGCTCAGTAGATGTCAAAGGCTCAGGCTGCAGCGGGAACACAGACAAGGAAGGAAGGACAGTAAATTGCAGGATCAACTACGATTTTTACAGTCTGCATTTGGTATGAACATGATGTAATGTACAGACCGTTTTTGATGATTTGGGTTTAATGACACTTTCAATATAGCCTCATGTCCCATACCTTTAAGGATTTAAAGTCGTCTTTTTTTTTTTTTTTTTTTTAAAAAAATGTAGCAAACAGGAAAAGTAATTGTAATCTAAAATTACAAAATAGATTGGTCCGGGGGATAATTATGTATGTACTGGAAGTTATTCATTTGTGCTTTTTTTGGGAACCAGACTGATAAAGAAAGGTCTTTCAGTATATCAGACACGTACTACTTCATAATCGCCAGAGCTCCTTTGTGACTTTTCTGTTTTGTGTTTTCAGGAAAGAGAACGAATACTGCGTTTCAAAAAGCCCAAAAGAAAAAGTTTGAAACATCCAAAGGTAATTTTTTCCTTACATTTTTTAAATAAATTTTTTTGCTCGTCTTAGTATGTGCACTAATTTTGCAGTGTTTGAAGTTGGAGAAATTCACAAATACCTTTAAAGAGTTAGTTTGCCCTCAAAGTATGTTTCATCTGTGGGTAGAAGTCCTGGATCAATCAATGGCTTCTAAAATCTCTTGGGAACTCCAGCAGTGAAATCTCCCAGGGGAATTCCTGGTTCTTCCTCTTCTACCACAAAGTCTGTTTTCTGCAGCACAGAGATCTAATCAATCCCCAGAAGATGAAGGAGCTTGAAAAATAATGTCCAAGAGAGCCTTGTAAATGTGTAGGGACTGGTATGTGCATTCATCTTAAGGCATCAAGAAGCCATTGCACTTCATTGTGAAGAAGCCATTATGACTACCATATTTTCCCTAATGAATGTCCCTTTTTTATATAAGTGTGTGTGTGCATATTTTTTTTATTAACGGGGTGTTTAAGGATGACTGGAAATGAGAAACCGTGGCCTCAATGAACTCCGGTCCATTATAACATTATAGTGAACTTGTACGTGAAAAGTGATCATTTTCTGTTTTTATAGGGAATGTATAGAATTGTTAATTGTGTCTAAGCAGTACCCTGAAAATTGTTGCTTTTATCTGGAATCTATCCTTATGATGCACTTCCAGGTACTAGTCTATGCACTAGTACTAGTCAGGTCTAGGCATTCCTATGCCTACAACCTCACAGCTGTATATGGTGATGTCACTTCTGTGCTACTCAAGCTGGCTATAGATGGATCGAAATTCGTCCATTTCAGCATGGACTGGCTAAATTTTGATCCATCTATGGTTGTTCCTGTTCATGAGAAGTCAATCTAATGATCGACTTCTCACAAATGGGCTTGTTGGAAAATTAGTGTTTGATCAGCGGAGCAGCCAATTGGCTGTGGTGCTGATCAGTGTATTCTGACAGCAGAGGAGTCTCCCCGCTGTCAGGAAAGTATAGCACAGTAGAGAGAATTCCCCAATTCACCTGGCTTGTGTGGATGGGGTAATCCATTCAGTCTTGTTTGTTTTTTTTTTTTGATCAGCCTCTTGGCTGATGGGGAAAAAAAAGGATAGATCTATGGCCATCTTCACTTGTGTCCTCTACCAGGATGGCTTTGTCAACGCAGACATAGTGTGGAACAAGGCATGGTAAGTCAATGTGGGGAAAGATCAGCTACAGGGAGACTAATGGGCAATAATGGTGACCAGTCATTTGTCATCTTCCTGCCTATTTTGGGCACTGCTTCCAGAGTTCATTTCCTCTTCAAAGAGTCAAAACTAAATTCTGACAAGGACCCATTTAATGAATACTAACTTTATCAACTTTGTTCAGGGTAAATCGACATGTTTGCTTTAATGCAGACCATTACAGTAGCAAATACTCGCCATTCCTTCTCTCTTTCAGTTTTTTCAGCCACGAGGAACCAAAGGCAATACCCAGTACTACTGAGTATAGAGGAGCATGTGACTTAGCTATGTGACAGCACTGTCAGACCCAGATTCTGTAGCCCTGTATAAGCCATGTCTCCAGTGACTTGTAGCTTGCAAAGACACTTTGCTCCCTGCAAGTGAACAAAGTGGCAGGGGAGTGAAAGGAATGTAAGTATATGCTGCTGGGGATGTCTGCGTAAAAAATGTTGAACTTGTTGCTTGGCCCTAAGTAGCTTGTGGTATTGTCACAGCACCAACGTCCCCAATGACATATTATATATATATATATATATATATATATATATATATATATGCAGTACATCCAGAAAGTATTCACAGCGCTTAACTTTTTCCACATTTTGTTATGTTACAGCCTTATTCCAAAATTTATTAAATTAATTTTTTCCCTCAGCATTCTACAAACAATACCCCATAATGACAACGTGAAAGAAGTTCGTTTTTGCAAATCTTTGCAATTTATTTAAAATAAAAAACGAAAAAAAACATGTACATAAGTATTCACAGTCTTTGCTCAATACTTTGTTGAAGCACCTTTAGCACCAATTACAGCCTCAAGTCATGTTGAGTGTGATGCTACAAGCGTGGCACACCTATTTTGGGGCAATTTCTCCCATTCTTCTTTGCAGTACCTCAAGCTCCATCAGGTTGGATGGGGAGCGTTGGTGCACAGCCATTTTCAGATCTCTCCAGAGATGTTCAATCGGGTTCAAGTCTGGGCTGTGGCTGGGCCACTCCAGGACATTCACAGAGTTGACACTCCTATGTTATATGGGCTGTGTGCATAAAACCTTTTTTTTTTTAATCTTTGATACTGTTGACTAATTCATATTCTACACACGGATTGATTTTCGGCATAGAAATCAGCTGCCAGATTTTTTTTGCCGAAGCTTAATTGAACAAGCTGAAGTTAGAAGCTGATTGGGTACAATGCACCGCTGCATTAGATTTTGCACTTTCCAGTTATAGTAAATCACCCCCACAGTTTATATAATATTGTAATATTTACTGAAAGGAATTTTGTTGGCTAATATATATTTATTTTACAGTCACAGTCATATAACGTAGTAATATATTGTTCCTCACCAATATACCGTAATCTGTGGCTATGAAAGATTAAGACACATGTTGTCCTGATGGTGGTGCTGTTCTCCAAATTTTGAGAGCACCCAGCAATGTCTTGCAGAGGGAAAAAAAAGAAAGTGTTAGTCTATTCAAAGCTTTATCATGGATGCTAGAATTAAACCACCAAGCCTTAAAACTCCTGGGGTCTCTGGTAAGGGGACTGCAGTATATGTAACAGGAATAGGTCAACCTGAGCTGGCTGTTTGACACTGTATGATTTATTGCTTCTTATGACTCTGTAACTGAAATATTACTTATGTAAGCCTTTAAATAATATTAGCTCTTTTTATCTGATGAGGACAATTGGGTAATTGAGCCTGGAATGGAAATTGATGAGAAAATCTCCTGGATGCAATTACAATTTTCTAAAGCTTTAGTCTTCTAGTTGACCTGCAGGTCCACATCAGCACTGTAGTTCCAGGTCATGTGACTTTGTGCTGCAATGTATGGTATTGGGGTGTTGACATTAGAAGTATCTCAGGCTAGGATGGGGGGGGGGGGGGGGGGGGGGGCGACACTGACATAAGGGCACAATGAAAAGCTGCTGCAGTCAATGTGGCCCAATACCCAAAGGCAGCCAGAATTTGCCTAATTACCAATGAGAGGAAAGTGTTTTTCTTCTTGCTACAACCCTACCTACCTGCAACACCTTCCCTCTTAGGCCAAGAGTAAATGTGGGCTGCAATTGCTCACCTCTTTTCCGAAAATGCTAAAAACCTGGCTGTGATGAGGCTGTTCCAGATTCTTTAATACTAGATAAGACTCTAACTGGGGACAAATATAGTGTTCATAAATTTGCTTGAAGACAAAAATAACCTTATAAAAAAATGAGTAACATTTTACAGGTTAAAAAAAAAAAGAAAACCCATCTTTTGCTGCAGTATTCATCTTTAATTCCATAGATTTTCCTCACAGTACTTTCTGCCTATAGATGTCATAGTTAGTTGGCCAGCATCATTCAGTCCACTTCTCCTGAGCCCAAAGGTCATGTTGAACCTGACGAACCTGTGACTGGACAGTTAAAAGAGAAGCAGCACAGTGAGCTCATCGCTGAACTGATTGGATCCTTGTGCTGCTTTCTATTCTTAATCTTCAGCTCTTCTCACACTACTTTAAAAAAGTAGTGTAAGCCCTTATTAAACCATGCATTTCACAATGTAATAATGATTACAGAGCTCAATTAATTTGTGTCCTCAATACATGTTTAGAGTATGGCCAATGATGTTTTGTCCATACTCTCATGAGTCACAGGAATGCATCTACTTTTGCGCTCCTGTAATCCAGATTAAGCTAAAACCGGCAGTTGGCTAATGCCACAGAGCCGCTCCAGAATATAGAGAGATCCTGACAATAATGTCGGGATCCACCCAGATGTATTACAGGTAGTAGGCTCAGCCTGTCAGCATGCCATTGAGAGCCTGAGCCAGTTGGCCTCGGCCCTTCCACACGCAGTCCTCCAGTGAGCACTGGAGGGGAAGACGAGAGAAAATGGTGACTGCCAATCACTACCCTCTGCTCAGAGCTGACCGAAAAAAACTGAGAGATTAGTGGTCATGTGATTGCTTAGTTCTTGGTCTTATTGCTGGTGGGGAACAGCTGCAGCCAAATAGGTGAGTATGTTTATTTTTTTTTATTTCCCACACTTCTTCAAGTCACAGACTTCCAAGCAGCTAGCATTTTAAGAAAGAGATCAGCAATAGTAGGCACCATATTTCTTTTTATTATAAGTGGTCATTTAGGTTTGTGAGTGTTTCCTTCATACAATATGGTTTTCCTATGGTTTTCTGTTGGGATTTTCACATTTCTCTTTGGTCTAGCAAGGTTTTCAATGGTTTTCGCACTAATGCCTGTGCATTCATGTAACAAATATGTCTGCTCACACTTTCCTAGAATTACATTATTTTGGAATTTTAGGTTAAATGAGAGCCAGCCTAGAAAAAAAACAGGGTGCTGCCCTTTTTGTCTATGTTTTGGCTATAGGAAGTAGGTTTCAGCTACCAGTTTTCTAGTTCAGGGAAAAAAACATACTGTATCTTGACTTGTTGCTGTGGATAGCAGATGCTTTCCTGTGTATTTAGTTTTATATTAAAAAAAGTAATTAAGTTGGACCTTTCAGTAACACTCAAATATCTGTATGAACAGCGCAATTTCTCAAAAATGTTTGCATTTAATAATTAAAAAGCTGAAAGGATGCCATCAGTCTGATGCAGGCAGAAGGAAGCATTTTCTCAGTCTCCTTTCTGTGGTAATCGGACCACAACATTTGTAACTTTGTAACACCTCGCAAGTTAAAAGCCTTGAGCAAGGGCTGATCTGTGTCTGATATTTGTTAACACGCAGGGATCATAGTTTGACTGTGTAGATGCTGACCTTGGTTGATGCCGGAACAAAGATG